TTTTGGATATTTTTTGTGTTTTTTTAATAACTAACAATTCTTTTGTAAACCCATTCTGCCGCACAAATCAACAAAAATATAATTGTAATAAGTTTGTCTTGCTATTCCGATGTTCTCACAGTTATGATAAAGATTTTTCTACTCATTACTTGTGTCTAGAAAAAAAGTAGTCGATTATGTTTCAGACCCAAAGTTAAAATCGCATTATAATAGTCGTAAAAACCTGGGGCAGATCTCTTGCCGTAGTGTGAAAACTGCTGAAAGATGCCTTTTCACATAATAGCAAACTTATATGTTATTTATTTTTAGAATTTTTTTCCATTTTTATATTTATAGAAAAACCCACAATTTTATGTTTCTCGTGCATTTTGCCAAAGAAAAAAAAATACTGTTGGTAAATACACTTTTTCAGAGAACAAACTTACACCAACTCTTTAAAGACAAATTTTTTGAATAACTTTTACCCGACAACAGACAACAATTCGATGTTTGAGTCTGTAAAGCATGGTGTTCTTTTTGATTATGATTTGTTTCGTTGTTTTTTGTTTTTATTTAATACATTCAAGTTGTTTGTTGTTGAATTTTCTTGTTGTATCTATCATTTTATACGACAAAAGATCTGCCTAACCATTGTTCACAACAATATCACATTAATTTTAAATTTATAAAACAATTATTTTCTGTTGTTACACACAATATTAAGCGTAATTAATTCGGTCAATTATTCTAAGTTCGTTTTAATTGATAAAATAAATATATCAAACAAAAAATCAAATTTAAAAAACAAAACCACATCACAAAAAATAAAATATTTTTTATAAAAAATAACATTCTTGAAATAATTTTCTAGACTGACTTTAAGTTAAAAATAATAATAAACACAATACTAATAACAATTAAATCGTTCTGTAATATCAAACGATTCAAAGTAAACTGGTTTTCAAAAGTCTGTACTGAGGTGTCCCGATTTTTTGCATTTATTTTGTTTATTATTTTTGGGGATCGTTTTTTGTAATAAATTCGCTTATTTTTTCCAAGTAAAAAAGAGAAAAACAGTCTTCAAAAAATATTTTTTTACTTGAAGAATAATTAAGCATTAAAAAATTCAATATAAAATTTGAAATAACGGGATTTTTGTTTTTGAAATACACGTGAATGATCCCAAAAGTGCATTTTATTATAAAAAATTGATAAATTTAATGCCAAAAATTTTCAAAGTCGAGTCTTCATTTATAATAATAAAATAAATAACAAACGCAGAAGTATCGCGTAATATCGATATACTGATGGTGTTGTCACAACAATGACTGAAATATCAAAACACAAAATTATAAATTGTTTGCTCTTATTTATTTTTTCTTTAAAACTCGTTATTTCATTTTGTTTTGTTTGAAGAACAAAACCACATGTTTGTTTTTAATTAAAATGAAAAACTAACGAAACTGATATTTAGTTACAAATTGACACAAACAACAACATCCCAATTTATTAACATGTTTATCGTTGTATAATTTGACCAACAACGTTGAGTTTGTGTTGTGAAGTATCGAGTTGTGGTCAAATCAAATAACGGGATCGGGTTTTTTAGAAAAGGCTGGCTAATATTCCGATAAAATCCCGATATTGTACAAATATAATTGAACGGTATTGGTATTTTTTTCAAAATAAAGTCTGTACTTTCGATTTTTTGTTTTTTTGTTTTTTAGGAAAAATAAAAAATAAAAAACGGGACTTTAGGAAGTTTTAAAAATACTGCGGTACAGACTGTTGAACTACAGTTTACCATTAATACTAATCAGGAAGTGGAATTATTTTAATTCTACCACGAGCAGAAAATTGGTTTTGTTCTTTTTGAAATGGACAACCTTTTTTAAATTAGTGCAGATATTGACATCTCAAAAGTAATAAGAAGCACTGTCACAACCAGGCGTTTACCAAAATTTACACAGTTAATGCCTAAGCC